ACTTATCACTACACGGTAATGATGAAGATTATCTAAAAATTAATACTAAAATGAGTTCTTGGCTTTTTAATTAGCCTTCTCAACCAGTAGTGCATAATGACATGTAAACCAAAAGTAAGGCACAGTGTTACAATGAGTTGTTGAAAGGGACTTGCCACTGAGGCTAACAGTGGAGTCATCATCATTGATCAGGGTTTGACACTAACTTTTCAATTTACTAGCAGAGTGGCTAGTGAAAACTTAGATGTTACAACAATTTTAGTTCGCTTACTAAGCCAAACTGGCTGGTAGAAATCAAAAACCACCAGCCAAAACTGAATTTTTACTAGTCTGTGGCTAGTTGGCTACCGTTATTAATATTTGTAAAGTATCTTAAATACAGATACAATATGTATTGCACAACCACTAGCAGAAGCAAAACATTTATTTACAAACATTTACTGACCACTGATGACTCCCTCTTCTCCTGGTTCTCCTGTTGCAAAATGAATATGATTTCTGCTCATTCTTGACAAACCCTGGTAAGAGAAAAAAAGTGTTTTGCAAGTAACAACATAGCCAGATGAGGGTTAATGAAAAAAACAATGAAAAAAAAAAATGCCAAAAAAAGTAAAAATACCCACCTGAGATTTTATTAGCTCCCAACACTCACTGTAGGTGCCATGGACAACAACTGGTGCATCAGAGTGATCTGTGATGGGATCCAGTTCAAGATCATCAACCTAAAATGCAAAAAAAATTTATTTAATAAAAAAATTAGCATCAGTTAAACCTACACTCATTAACCCTTCGCTTCCAACAACTTGATGAAAATTCTCTTTACTGTCTGCCCTACATCTCTTATAAATTTTGTACTGAGAATTTAAATTTGAATAAGACAATAATCCCCTTCAGTTGTTGACATTTTTTTTTACCATTCTCATCACCATCACTAATGTCTGCTTGATACTGTGATTGTAAGCCCTAAAGGTCAAAACTTCAAACTAACATAAAAACTGAACCCTTGCCTCATGATTGTATGAAGAGCTTTCTTGTTTGGATTTGGACATCCTTACCCTTGCAATACATATATCTTATTAACCAAGCGCGAGGGCCATACTGGGAGAATATCAGCCC